ATACTGCATTTATGGAAATTCTAATATATGCCAGAACTTGTTGCTGGTTTAGGATTGGTCCGTTAAGCATGGCCAGGGGGTCCGTGATGAAATAATTGTAATAATATTATTATACACATTTAAATAGTGATTCTAATGTTTAAACTGTTGGATTATTTTTAATGAAATAAATCTGTGCTGAGGGGTTCCATGGATTTGATATTATAGGTAAAGGGGTTAAAAATTTGAGAACCCCTGCTCTAAACACATGGCATAGCACATTTTGAATAGATAGATAGATAGATAGATAGATAGATAGATAATTATCTAGCTAGATAGATAGACATTAATACTAATATAATAAATACTAATTTATTATATTAATATTAATAAGTGTTTCATAGGTCAATATTAGATATTTAATTAGATGTTACTGCTTAACTCCATTGTCTCTGGAAAGCCAAAACCAGTGTCAAGATAGTGGAGAAAATTGTATAATTAAAAAATGAAAAGAGGCAACAAATGCCAAAGCTTGTGTTTGATTCGTGGGTGAGAATCGATTCGCCTGAATCGACTCTCGAATGTGAGTCGTTCAAAAAGAAAACGGTTCGTGCGCGATTCGCTCATCCTTGGTGTCGTTTTTGTTTTTCCTACAGAGGCGATATGGCAACACCCGCCGCTGTTAATCCGTCCGGTAAGTCCCAATTTCGGTGCGTTATTGTGTCAGTGAGGTTAGCGACTGAGCAGAAGAGAGTTCAGTTCAGGCATTTGACGGTGTTTTGAAAGAAAAGCGAGCAAAGCCGCGGCGTTCTCCGGCTCGGAGAGCCAGCATCCCCCTTCCCCCTTCCCCCACGGAGCCTATCCAGCACCGGACCATGTTTTAGCCTTCAGACTGATGTTGTGTTTATCGTATTACTAGTATAGCATGTGTAAAACCTGATCTCTGTACTGTGCATGTTTATATACAGCACGCACTAGGCTCCATTCATGCTTTGCTTCATTTTGTTGATGTAAATGAGATGCTGGATTGATTTGCACGCGAGGCGGCGCGTGCTGGGATTTCACTCCGTCCTCTTTGTATCAGTGCAACCAAACTTAGTGTTACACTGATCTGATCTTCGCTCTTATTACTCCTAAAGCTCAGTCTTTGACTTGTGCACGGCAGACCTTTACAGGTTTGCTTCTTGTTTTGCCTGTTGATTGCATCTTGAACACAGAAAAGCTGTATGTAACGCACACCATGGCTGAACCGGAGAAACCAGGGTTGCCAGATTGCAGCGGGATGGTTTAAAACTCCCCTCCATGACCAGTAAAAATAATCAAATTATATGTAAAAGAATTATATTTCAAACATATTCTGTCTACTCTTGTAATGCTACTGACCATGACATAGACCAGTCACATTTCGTAACTATCACTTCAACACTCTCAATCTGGCAACCCTACCAGAGAATGCCTTATGGCATCAGTTGAGCCTGATGGCATAAACATCTCTATGCTGTAATTAAATGTTTTATAATTAAGAGAGAAGACTGTTAAATGCACCATAACCTTATTACCTCATTTTAACTTATTTGCTATTTGCACTAGTGGTTGGATGCTACCTGCATTTCATTGTTTGATGTACTCATACTCTGACAATGACAGTAAAGTTGAACCTAACCTAATTAAGGCTGTAAATGTAATAAAATATCACTTGCTGTAGTAACTCAATAATAGGTGACAGGAAGGTTGTGAGTTTAAATTCTAGGATGTGAGAAAGCCTTATCCCTCAGCTCCTCAACAGCCTCAGTTGGAAAGAACATGACTGTGTACTGTGCAAGAAATTTCATTTCTACATTTATTGCATAAATAATATGTATAGTAGTGCGGTCAGAACAGATGCAATTTGAATTAGCATAATATTTGCATATTTAAATACACAAAAGTGTGCTTTGGAATGTTTATGATCCTGTACAGGGGTGGACAGATGATAAATTCATTAGCTATCTCATTGGGTAAGTGTTTAACAATACTTTCCTTTAATGAAAATGATTTTTACAAATGTAATTAAAATGATAAAGATACAGTACAAAGTGTTAACATGAGCTGATAGTGATATGTCAGGAAAGTAGAGCTGCTCCTCACCAGCTTGATCCTGAGCTCGTGTTCCTGTCTGTCTGGAGTTTCACATGTTCGTCCTGTGTCCATGTGGGTTTCCTCTGGGTTCTCCAGTTTCCTCCCAGCTTCCAAAACATGCCAGTAGGTGGACAGGCTATGCTAAATTGTCCCTATGTGTGAATAAGTATATGAATGTGTGTGTGTGCTCATGTTGCTCTGCAATGCACTGGCAACCCATCCAAGATGTATTCCTCTGGACCACTGAGACCAGGACAATACTGTTCAGGAAAGTAGATGGATGAATGAATGAATGAATAGTATTGATGTATTATGTCGGCGTATTGCCCAGCTCTTTATGTTGAAAAAGCTGGGTTTTTATATGGATTCTGAATCAAGTCAAGATGAATATCACCAACAACAAAAAAACAACAGTTATATTCCTCTCATACCACAGCAACTTGCCAGTGCGTACAGTTTAAAAAAAAAAAAATTATTAAAGAATGCCACGTCATACTTGTTAACAGTTTACGGTTACGTTTAATGTTGCGGAAGGCCCACTTATATGATGAAAGCTATAAACAGTTGTTCCTTAACCAGCCTCGCTTTTTTCTCTATCTTGAAGTTAATAAGATAGAAAAAATGCAGAGAAAGCCCGAAACGCAAAGTCCTCTGTCCTGAAGACTTTCCCATGGCGGAAAACCTTAGCCTCCTTCTAAGAAATTAAATAAACACCCCCCTTACAGAAAGCTTCACCATATCAATGCTTAAACATTTTACTTTCTTACAAACGCTGTTTATCATCTGCATATTATTAGGCTTCGATTATGTGGCGTGATAACGAGGACATATTAGAACAAGCATGTTAATATAAAAGTGTAGTTAGAATTAAAGCCAGAATTATTGTCAGAGCTGCTGTTGTAGGAAATTAATCAGCACCATCTGACCAAACAGTTTGATAATTAAAACAGTGCTGTGACGTAACAGTTTCTAAATACAGTGCTGAGTTCAAATCCCGTCACATCCAGAGAGCCACTGCTGGGCCTTTGAGCAAATCCTCAACTGCCCAGCTCTGCTCTTGGCTTGGATTCTGCCTGAGCTGTAAGTCTGCCAAATGGATAAATGTAAATATGTTCACAATGTAGTCCTCCTTGGAGGTCTACATTGTGAATGCGATGTGCCATATGTTGGCGAAAAGTTTTATTTACTTAGAAATATAGGTTGGGTAAAACCACGCACATGCTGTCTTCTCACTAAATAGTTCCTTGGAGCCTTTAGATAATTATTCAACGGTAACGATTGTGTATCTGGCAGCTTTCTGGGTTGAGTTGTGGTGGTGTGGCAGAGTGCCTCATGTCTGGATTTATGAAGAAAGGAGGCTCTGTTGGCCACAATTCAGCTCACACATTACCACACCTGATTCAGCTCACAGTGGATGAATTGTTGAGAATGTGTGAGAACAGCGGAGAATCTGAAGTCAAGTCTGCCTGCTAGACTGTAGGGTTGTTTGCTAAAATCCCAGGATTGCCAGAGAGCCACTTTTATTCCATTTGGATGGAAATGAATAGAGAGATGAATTTGGTGTAATAAAATGAAAATCCGGCTTCTTTCACACTGATTGTGGCTCTGACCTATTCAAGCAGTTAGCATGCTGTATGTCACTGATAGTCACGATGATGGAGGCGGCTGTGTAGGCCAGTCCTATTTTAGTCTTAACACAGAGATCTGGTAGTGATATAACAACTGAAGGATCCAAAACAGGATCCCATGTTGGTTTAAGATGATATATATATTTTTTTTTATAAATCAGTTTTGTGTGATTGGTATTATATGTTAAAACAAAAAAAAATTAGTTACCAATTAAGGACACTATCTGTGTACAGGGCAGGTAAATGAGGTGTGATGGAGTGAGGTGATAAACTGCTGTAGTTTCCTAACTGAGGAGATTTTTAACAGCTCCACGTCTGTTGGGTAGACGGTGCACAGCGATAAATATTTACTAGTCGACCAATAACTTAAAAATAGTAGTCGACTAGTCCTCTATATTTAAGCCGGTGTGGACAGAGTATTCAGAAACTGTACTTTAGTGAAAAAAATATTCAAATGAAAGTAAAAAAGTTGCTACTTTTAACTGTTCTCAGGTATTAAAAGGTAAATATTTATAACTGATGTCATGTTTTCATGTGAAAAGTAACTGTTATCTAACACTCTTAGAAGATGATTTATTTCTGTATCAACTGCCTAGCCACTGTTAGCTACTGGAATCGATTCTAGTCTAATCTGGCATTAGCAACGAAAACAGGCTAAGTCAATTATATCCAGGTAACGTCAGCTGAAAATGACTGAAACTTGAAAATTACTGATGCTTTTTCAAATTAGATGGAGTTCATGCCTTCAACAGAGGCAGATGAGACACCACATTTTATACAAGTCTTTGCTTAATCTAGCATTTTGAAACATTTTAGCGAGGTAGAGCTAGGGATGCGTATCCTCAGGTTCCACACTGGTGGATTTTCCACCTTCAAACACACACACATAGCTATAGTGTTAACTACATTGTGTAGCATGTGTGTAGCATGATCACGGTGGTGAATTGGCACGATTCTTGCTGGTTTTTTCCTACATCGATGTACTTGATTGGATACTAAATTGAAATCATTGGATGCAAAACAAAGAACATTCTATTGAGGTATAGCGTACAGTCCATCCATCCATTTTCTGTACCGCGTGTCCAATACACGGTCACGGGGAGTCTGGAGCCTATCCCAGGGGGACACCCTGGGCACAATCGCACACAAATTCACACACTACGGACAATTTAGAGATGCCAATCAGACTACAACACATGTCTTTGGAATGGGGAGGAAACCGGAGTGCCCTGAGGAAACCCCCGAAGCACGGGAAGAACATGCTCCACACACACAGGGCAGAGGTGAGAATCGAACCCCACAACCCTGGAGGTGCAAGGACCATGTGTTAACCACTAAGCCACTGTGCCCACGCCCATAGCGTACAGTCATTGACTGGATTAGAGAAGAAGAGACCTTTTGGGATTTGTAATGAATACTTTGAAAGTCTAAATAAAAATGTAAGGAGTAAGAGTAAGGTATTCAATTTCAATAATATTCAAGTAAAGTATAAATATGCCAAAATAATACATAATTATAGTAATGAAGTACAATTATAGTCAAAAACAGCAGTATACTGTAGTCTTTTTTGCACTATTACCATGTGCAAACTCATTGCAAAATGGGACTTGTCTTTCTTGTTATCCATATTGTATATTTAATGTATTTTTCTAAATTCATGTTTCTTTGCTTTTCCTTGACATTTGATCAACAGTTTGAATGAAGCCTTCAGATACAATACAGATATAGAATCGATATAGAAATTGTTTTTGGGTTGTAGACGCTTTTTTTTTTTTTTTTTTTAATTTGCTCAAATTATCTTAAAGGTTCTTCATTTCATCTGTAGACCACAGAATGCCATTCTACACCACCATGAAACCTGGTACTCATGTCCAATCCTTAAAGCAAACCCCAGATCACCATTTTTATGAGCTTAGAGATTGGCTGCCTGGACAGCAGCCGGATTTAAAGCAGCCTTCACGCTTGACCGACCTCCGGATGCAAATGGCTTTGGGTCTGTATAAAAGTGCAAAAGTGTGAGAACTTTTTAACTGGAGTGTGGATAGTTTCAAGCACGAACGCAATCCAGGACAAATACAGAAGTGCTGAGCATCGTGGAGCTGTCTTGTTCACGTTTTGCCAGCCAGGCTGATCGCAGTGCGTCCAGGCTAATCAGAATGAGCCGCGTGTTGACCCGGGACAGTGACGAGGTTCACTGCTTGCTGCCTATTTCTGCCCATGAGCGTTTACTCCAGCTTTTAGAATCAACACTGACACCGCTGTCCAATTCCGAATCAATTCATTCATTCTTTGTTTTGCGTCTTGCTTTATTCGCGTAATGAGTCTTCACTGCCAGTGCTCTTTGAAGACTTAAAAGACTTTAATAAATAAAAATGTCAAAAGATTTCTTTCCATTTAGTAATCTGAAGCCCAATCTTACATTGACAAAACTGTGAAAATATAACAAGTGGAGGGATGAACAGAAACAAACCCCAGACGAGAGGATGAAGTCCTTTATTTAGATTGTATTTATTTAAACTCTTACTATTTAAAGTTTTAAAAAAAAATCCATTCTACGTACAAAACACCACCATGCTAATAACATACTGATGTAAGAGCATCTAAAAGTACCAGGCAGTGCAAACTGCTTGGAAAATCATATTTACTTGTTACTGTTTACATATAAACAGAGTTTTAATATGTTTTCATCAGACATATGCTGATAATTCATTGTACACTTTGTATGGAATAAAGCATGACAGGTTGTTGCTGTTCTAGGAAGGTAATGAGTGGGTGTGTGTTGCGTTGATATGACAAGCTGTAGCCTACTTTTTATCTGTTTATGGTTACATTTATTCTTGTGGAACATTCGTGAAACAAGTTATTTCCTGTTATCCCTTATGTTATAACGGCTATAAACAGCCGTTCTCCTTCCAGCCTCTCTCTTTTAATCTCTCTTGACGTTAATAAGGCATAAAAAAAAAGAAAAGTCTTGGCATGTTACAGTAAAACCACAAAGCCGTCCCATGTCAGCAGACTTCAAGTTACAGCTTTAGCTTTGAAATGTTACAAAACTCTGACACTGGAGACTCCTTCCAAAAAATGCAAAATACACACATTTCAAAAATGTAAAAAAGAATGTACAGTGGGGAAAACAAGTATTTGATCCCTTGCTGATTTTGTTGGTTTACCCACTAAGAAAGACTTGATCAGTCTGTAATTTTAATGGTAGGTGTATTCTAACATGTGGAGACAGAATATCAAAAAGAAAATCCAGAAAATAACTTTTAAATATCTATATTAATTTATTTATATTTTATTGAGAAAAAGAAGTATT